TAACTTGCCAGATCGGACGGGATGGCGTGCTTTCAACGTGGTATGGCTTAACCGCGATTTTTGGCTGTGGAACTCGTCCAACATCCCTTTTTACTTCTTTTTTGACCCTTTGTATTTCTTTTAATTGTCGTTTTCGCGATTTCTGTTTTACCATTGAACTACTGTAGTCCGTACTTATTACTTAACGTCAAAAACCAGATACCCCTATATTATCGTGAACTGTGCCTTCAAGAGCCAGAAGCTTCACCTTCTTCAGAGCTGGTAATCTGTACATAAAAGTGACCAAAAATCTGATCGTTCCCGAAGCTTTGAATAGGTTCAAGCGTGATATGACACTGGTTCTATCCAAGCATGAGCCTTATTAGTTTTCTGAGATTGATCAATTGATTTCATATTTGTGTCTTTGTCTATATCTGGATTGATGCTCTATTATGCGTTATAAGGTTTTCGCCTTGGTCTGCTCGTTTGCTTACTGCTTTTCGACCTCTTCTGTTTCGACCGGTCTATTATGTTGATTTTAGAAGGTTGTCTTTTACTGCGTTTGCCTTAGCAACGTAATAAAACAAACAAACAAGCAAATTAACGTTTTGAATGTCATGAATCACAGGTGGGACTAAATTCGGATATTGACACTCAGACATCCCAACCATATCAACAGATCGGCGTCTTCCGAACTCTTCAGGGAAGTTCAAATCAAGTGGTCGTCACTCCCCTGTGTCTTAGCTCCCCTGTGTTCACCTAAGTAAGGAACAGAATTTCTCAAAGTGACGGCTAATAGCTCAGCTTTGAGAGATGCAACCTCTGTTTCCAATGCCATGATTTCTTCCAACAGTCCAGCTTTACGTCCTTCCGTGTTGGATAACTCAAGGTGCCTTCTTTGGAGGTTTTCCAAGAGAAAGATCAGAATTGCCATGGCGTGGGCAAGAATGCAGCTGTCATTAGTTTATGACATTCGATACATCCTTGTCTTCAACAGCCATCAGAACAGTTCCATATTCGGAAATCCTCTTGTTGTTTCCTTAGCATAAGAAGGCACAGAACCAGACGATGTGCTCAAAATGATCTTCATTGATGGTAAGGGTTCAATTCTGCTTCGACTTCTGCCATCAAAAGTCTCGCAATATGAACCCGATAGAAGAGCAGACCAGAACAAATGCTCGAGGCGCTTAAAAGAGAATTTCGGATAACTTGCTTAGCTGGCTTATTTCTCGACTTGCGAACTCGGACAAGGGAGAGTGATTTTCACCGGAACGCTAATATTTCAACCGCACTCTACCAATGTCGAAAGTCGAATGGATGATGTAGAAATATCGCTCGATTCGGAACAACTACTGCTATCAGAAACCACAAAACGCAGTCCATCTGGCAGAATTTGAGAAAAGAGACCAATTTCTGGCTAATTCATAGTTCTTGTGACTCCTGTTACACTTTTAGCCGACAGCAGTGTTACAGGCAGTTCAAATCGCCAACATTTTGTGGTCCAGACTAGACCATAAGTAAAGTAATGAGCTCTCCTACGAAGATCATTTATCCACTCCTATTCTCATGTATTTCCGACTGACCCGATTCTTCAGCCGCGATATGTCCAAAATACTACAACCTCATATCATACATCTTCTATCCGTGAAAGAGACGATAGGGAACAGGCTTGAAGACAGAAACGAATGAAGAGGATACGACGATGTGAACAAATAGCGTGACTTGAAAAAAAATAGCGTCATCCCCTGTTTCTTCGATCAACTTAGAAAAGTATTCGTCGTCAGTCATTCCCATATTTTCTTCTGGTTTAACTGGAAAGTTTTTAGCTTGATGTCGTTCTTGCTCATGCAGTTTCATATACTGATCTCCGTCAGTCGCACAGCTTTCCAAAGACGACAGTTTTCTTTCCTTTTCTTCGGTCTGCTCCTTTAGAGGTTGCAATTTACTCAAGTTCTTATCTATTTCACTTAAATGTTGTGAGTGATCTTTGAAAATTCCTCTTTCAAGATCCTTTTCAGCTTTCGTAAGGGCTCTTCCGTCTGCTTTACCACTTGTGTCGGTGTCGACGTTCCATTTCATCGTCATTTTGATAACTCCTATTTTGATCTCCCCAATCTTTGACCGAGACGGCGAAGTTGGAGCCCTGGAGGGGTCCTTCGAAACATAACGTCGTCCAAGGCTTGCGGAAGCGGAGAGCCAGCCAGAGAACCATGAATCATATCGTCCAAGTCATTATCTTTGTCTGAAGTTAGTTAAAGTTTCAACATTGAGCGTCGTGGCTTTGCGTTTCTCTGGTCAAGAAGGTTTGCATCGGCGGTTCAGCCATGAGCAGTCCCGTGAAAGGATTCTCGGTGCCCACTGCACCTCAAGGTAAATTAAGTACGCTTGTGAATGCATGTGAGTGTATTACTTCAGTCCTGGGGCGGGAACAGCTTAGGATCTTCCAACCCAATGGACCAAGATGATGCTGCGAGGTTAGAAGGTGAATTGAGCCCGAGAAGATAAATCAGACGACTGATATGCGTAGCTGCAACGGAGACGAGGGTAACTGGCGGACACGAGACAAGAGCGACGGGGTACGAGCGATATGAGCGATAAGCGAATGTGCGAGAAATAATCACGTACAATCATAAGTATTTCATATAACTGAACCAACTAAATGCAAGGAATAAATGATACGACACATGTGTACAAGATTACAAGGGCAGTGGTGTATGACTAAGACTTCATGCAAATGGATATTATCTCACTAGCTGGTCTGTATGAAACGAAACTGAAGGAGGAAATGCTAACAGTCCCATGAGATTTGATTTGCGGCATATTACATGCGAGATTATACCATACGACGACGACGCGAACTCGCTGATATTATTACAAAGAGAAGTACCTGTGAATTGGGTTCCTGGTGTGATTAGTGAATATCATGTCAAACCTTATGCTATAAGCGGTAGATGCTTCTCGCGGAGGCATACGAGTGCGGTAGTGTGATGATAGTACGACGGAGTAGGCGAGGGCCAGCTGCGAGTTCGGACGATTGATGATGTAAGATTTCACAATCATTTGGCGCCAAAACCTGCGCACTAGCCTTCTAGATGCTTCTACACTAGACGCACAGGTAAAATGAGAAGCGCATTTTGAAATGAGTACGCCTCGCGACCTCCTCACACCTGTTGCCTTTGAGCGCGTTTGCGAGGTCATAAAAACTCACGACACTGAGTATCTGTGGGCGATTGCAAAAACTCACCTAATACCTCTTTTTAACTCGTACTGGTGAGGTCTGGTATCTTCTTTCCGAACGGCGTATCGCGCTCGCAGCACTCGATCGCGCGCTATGAGGGAAAAAAACTTGAGTTCCCAGTGGAAGGATACGGCAGTCGCCACGGAACTGCTGCCGCTGGCGGTGGGAATTTGGAGAGATGTTCCACCATCTATACTCGCGCAGGCTCTGAAATTGTTAAGAATGCTTGAGAAGGGGTTGTAGAGTCTTGCACATGTATAGTCTATGTGAAACTCATGACCTCAGAACGGGTTTCAGGCTATAGTCTGCAGTGGCCATCTACCTTTTTCTTAACCCCTCATAATAGAAGAGCTTACACGCATTAAGTAGACCCCGCCTGAGCTAGTTTAGGTACACTCTCGCTTTCAGGGTAGAGTACACAGCGTGGGATACTACTCGAGCGGTCATACAAACGACTTCAGAACAAGCGAGCTAAATATCGTGAGAAGTACCTCGTCCGCTAGGACCGTATCGTGGAGCCCTTATGTGACGTGTGTGACAAAGACGTGCGCGACATGAAGAGAGGGTCAAAGTGCACCTCCAAAACTTCGATTGCTAGCTCGGTTCCTAAGCCTATGGTTCTCCGGTAGATGCCTATCGGGGACTGCAATTTTCACTTTCTCCTTTTTCTGAGTGCCGAATGAGATCGGTTTATCTGTGTCGATGATGTTTGTTTTTTTTTGCCCCTCTTAGACCAAAGAAGATGCGTGGAGCTCGAGGGACAATTACAAATGTCATTGTGCTTGTAGAGCGCAAGTAGGGTTCGAGCACTTCCCCCCCCCCCCTCGGAGGCCGAGATTTTTCTATAACTCATCAACCTTTTGAGTCTTATTCAGATGCGCGCCTACCTGGAAGATCTTTTTATCCTCACTGATGAGCTTTCAATCATTTCTTTCCCAAAAATCGCTTTAAGTTGGATTTGCACGTTATGGAAAGGCAGCCACTTACCTTTGAGCTTACTAAATGATGTATGTTGTTTATCGACGTTCTCGTCCTGGTTTTTCAGCAGCTCAGATCAGAACTCTGTGGGTTAAGAAGACCGGACAAACGAATATGGTCCAATCATTCTGAGCAGGCTTCTATGTATATTTTCGAGAGACAGCTACTCGATTGCGCGTGGAGGGTCATATCAATCGAGCAAGCCCGCTGCGGTGAAATGATTCAAGAGGCAGTCTTATGGGCGGTCCACAGCTCTAAAACTATATATTACCTGATATTACTATGCAATTCGACCGTGTTATCGGGTTCATTTATCAGGTTGAGTAATAAGTCCTCGGACAAATTTGCAATGATATTTTTATCTTACAATTTTCAAACGAGAGTAGCGAATCATCTGAAATATGCCCCATTGGCATCCATGGTCTTCTGCCAATGCTTGTGCAGATCGTGGATGCCCTTGCTTTAGAACGCTGGGAGCTGGCCCTCCAGTGCCATTTTGATGTCGTCGCGGGTTTGAATGTCCTGACCATCCAGATGACATTGAAGATGGGAAAAAAGGTGGCAATTCGAGGGATCCAAGTCTGAGGAACATGGTTGGTGTGGTAAACTTGCTCTGCCGAAATTCGTCAGTTCAGTTTTGGTCGTTCTTGCAATGTGAAGGCGAGCGTTGTCGTGCTGGAAGTAAACTTTGTGCTAGCGTGTAGCTTCGGGATTCGCCTTCAAATTCCTCAGTTGCGTGATGTAGACGTGTGCGGTCACTGTGCATACTTCGTCTAGCAGCTCCCATTATTCGACACCGCGAACGCTCTACCGGAATCAAAGCATAACCTCCTTGGCGTGTACGTTGGGTTTGTGAGAGTCCTCTGCATCCGCACCTTTGTCAATCCATTGAGCACGCCGGTGAAAGTTAGAGTAGAGGATCGACTTCGCACCCCCGGTGATTAGGTACTCGAGCCACGTGTGGTGCCCTTGAGCGTTAGGAGAGAAAGTGCCACGTCGTCGCAGTGGTCCATGCCATACTGCTTCAAAACATGAAGCACTCATCGACCAAGCTTTCGCACCTTGTCGATTGACTTCAATCCACGAATAACTGTGGACTGACTCCCCAAGGGTGACTGCCAGCTCACGAGTAGTTTGATACGAATCGGCTTCCACTTGGCTCCGCAGCACGTCCAAATCCAACTCCACTGGACATCCCGGACGATCTTCACCTTCGATAGTCGGGAATAGTCGCCAGATGCGAACTTATAGTGCCACTTGTAAATTGTACACGTCCTCCTTGTGAACGTCCTTCACACCTCTATCGATTACTGCGGGTTCATGGCCAGATAAAAAATAAATATGATGGTGTTGCAGATGTGGAGTTGCTACGGCTTGAAATCATGAAGCACAGTTGCGGGGAAGGAAACGGTTAGGTGCGTTCTATAGTATGCATTGGGGAGGTCCTACCATACTCTATCTAAAAATGCCTCGCGCGTTCATTTTCGTCACCTATTTCCACAGTTATAATCGCTAGAAGTCATCACTATCACATTGTCCGAAGGCTTATACATAACTCAACCTTATAGTTGCTCTGAGCGCCGCAATTTTCTACGAACTTCACCATATAGTAGAGACGTGGCAACAACAGCAATAGGGTAGTGGAAAGATCCTATTACCATCTCAATGGCCGTCTCTGGCTTACTTTTGGACTGCTCCTTCAAAATGAAGAGACGCACCATTCTTGTCGCTGACAAAATTCGTAGCCATTGCCGACATTTCGGAGCTTGACAGCAGCAGTAGGGACTCGTCATTCCCACTGCATGACATGCGGTCCGCTCTTTTACCAATCTGCCTGTATCTTATTCGACCTTTGAATTGGTTTTTGAAAGATATATGGTAGATTAAATTAAGGCGCTTGAGGTGACTGAGACGAGGTGCTGCAGTACGAGCTGTTCTAGTAGGGAGCTCGGTTATCTCTATCTGCTATCAACGCAACTTTGAAAGCTAGAACCAGAATTTATGGAGGAGCTGCAGACGCAGGCTTAAGCACCACTTCATCACGACGATGGAGATTTCTTACAGATTAGAGAACTCGTCAAAGAATTCAGACTGCGCTAAAACTTCCGTGTCTTCTTGTTTCTCCTTAGTAAGCGGTCCTAAATATCACCTGGACTTCCCATGTGAAGCTTTTTCGGAAACTTACACTAGTGGTGAGCTTGACCACATCAGCGGAGCTGTAGCCAACTTTTTTAGCCCTCTCCCCGTCTAACCTCTTACACACTGATCTTCTCAGATTAGTGCAAGTGGATATATGTATGTATAAACTGCCCGATAGCTGAAACACTGCTCTGACTGATAATAGCACTTATATTGTTGATACATACCTATACTTATATGTCGAAAGGAAGTAGGAATCAAAAACTACAAAATTCACTAATCCTTTTTTCCTTGCTGTATCGACTATATAGGTAGCTGTGAGGCACGGGTATCTGGTCGATTCAAAACATTTGAGAACTGTCTCGATACCCGTCTGGAAAAGATCAAGAAAAGCGGCAACCCTGTCATTTTCTCTCCCTCCAATCATCAGACCCTCGTCTAGCTCGGTCATTGAGTACTTTGGGAGGCAGGAGAGGGTTCAGATGTTGTGGTAATAGTGGAGTTCAGATGTTATGGTAATCCACAACATCTGAACTCCTCTTTATAGAGGACGACAAAGAATCCTACCTAATGGAAGAGGATCTGGAGATCGTCATACTCATCGTTCTGTAAAGTTTCACTTCCGAGTGGTCTATCTAAATAATACAAAATAATGGAGGAACTCCCCGTTATAATCAACAACCACTCCCACCTGCGCAACACTAGTTGAAGAATCCAATTTTGT